GATTTATAAAGTTGCGCGGTTCACGCGTTTTCTGCTTCTAAAATTTTTTTGAAAGTTGTATTGCGGGCATTAAAGCTTTATTGAATGTGTAAGATTAAAAGAGCGGAAGGAAGGCCATTAATAAAACTTGTAGTTACGCTACATTCAATGCTATTTTTCGTGGTTTTATCTATGTATCTACCGACATTAGTTTCTTCGTCAATTATAGCTCTGCGTAATTCCTTTATTCTTTCTATATAATCAAAAATATTTTTGTTAGGTTTTGTGTAGATATTTGCTAATTCACCGCAATACTGATCTACGGATTTGTTAGCACCGAAAATTCTTTTTAATTTTCTTGTTAATTCAAAAACAGTGTTGTATTTCTTACCTTCTATAGCAGCATAAGCATGACCCTGTAATTTATTGATTATTAATTGTACCAAGTGATATTTCTGGTAACATGGAATTAACTCGAGGGCTCGTTCACACATTTTGCTAAAGCAAAAGACAGAAATTTTATGTTCGTCATATTTAGGAATAGAATCAACTGCATCTTTAAAGTGGATCGTGGAGGTTGTATCTGAGGGACTAGATCTGCGAGGAGAATTTTGTGTAGAAGGAGGGTCAGTACGATAATTTGTTTGTTGATTAGGGGGTAAATTAGAGAGTTGAATATTATGAATACGTTGATTTAATTGATCTATCCGTTCGAGTAGGGAGCTTAAAACAGAGATTTGTTCATATAAATTCTTTATTATTGACTCGTATGGATTATTACCAGTATTAGCGTTCCTGTTTCGTTCGATTTTGTGTTGTAAAACCTTTAATTCTTCTTGTTTGGCTTGTAATAGCTTGGCGCGTTCTTTGAGCGTTTTTTTCTTTTCATCTAATTTTTGATTAAGGATTTCCAATTCGGAGTGTGTTAAATTTCCATTAGTCTCGGAAGATCAATACGTTGATTTAATTGATCTATCCGTTCGAGTAGGGAGCTTAAAACAGAGATATGTTCATATAAATTCCTTATTATTGACTCCTATGGATTATTACCAGTATTAGCGTTCCTGTTTCGTTCGATTTTGTGTTGTAAAACCTTTAATTCATCTTGTTTGGCTTGTAATAGCTTGGCGCTTTCTTTGAGCGTTTTTTTCTTTTTATTTCCAATTCGGAGTGTGTTAAATTTCCATTAGTCTCGGAAGGAGCGTTAGAACACTGTGATTGTGTATTGGGCATAATTAATTAGTTAATATACTACGTAATATTGTTTTGCATTTGTTAGAGAATATCTTTCAAAATTTGAATCTTATTTATGTATTTGGTTAATTTATTCTAGACCAAATAACTCGCGAATTTGGTAGATTTTGCGACGAGGATCTGTGCGTTTAATTGTTCTATAATCAGAGTACTTATATTCAAATTCAATTGGTATTAGTTTGTAATTAGTGGTTTTAGCCTCGTCAGGTTTAGGTTTATCTGAATTATTAATTAGGTTTTGTAATTTTGTGAAAAGAGGAAGGGGGTCTTCGGAGGAAAGTAATGCTTCTTTGATCTGGAAGTTAATCTTTTTAATTTGAACTAGACGTCCGGCCCTTTCCGACATTTGTAGAAAGAATTGAAATATAAAAAGAATTCAACCTAGTTTGTCGCCTTCCGGTAGCGCCAATTACAACTGTTGCAACGCTTCTCGTCAGCGACAATTGTTTGCTGCTACGCTCGTGGGTGACAACTTAGATGTAAAAAGAATTCAATCTAGTTTGTTGCCTTTCGATAGCGACAATTATAACTGTTGCAACAGTCTTCGTCAGCAACAATTGTTTGTTGCTACGCTCTTTGGCAACAACTTAGGTGATTTTTGAATTCTATTCATCGTTTGCTTTCAAGTTAAGAATATTTTCTTTAAATAGAAGAAAAGGATTAATTTTCGAAAACTTCTTTTCATTCAGGAAAATCCTTGTCAGTCCTTTTGGCAATCCCACCGCCGTGACCAAAATTAAAAAAAAAAAATTAGATTACGTCTTGACAATGCTCTTTTCTTACTATATCTTAGTTAGTAAGAAAAGGATAGCTCTCTATTTTTTATAGGGCAACCTGCTTCCATCTGCTATACCCCAGGGACGCCGAGAGCTAGGACTGAACTAGTGAATTCTAGGGGAATGACGTAAGGCACAGAACTAATCTTTACTAGGGGTTTTTACTAGATATTATGTATAGGGATATACGCATGTGCAAATACGTATATGTGATTTAAGTTCTGCCAAGGTGTGAATCCGGCCTAAAGGTGCGAACCCATGCAGCGGAATAGCGTAATACGGAACGAGAGTGGAACCAATCACGAGCGTTCCGCAGTTTTCGCAACGTAGATTCCAAGTCCTTACATCCCCATGGAGCATAATAAGTGCACCGCGGACCAATGCGCAACCAATCACGAGTCATTATTTCAAAAGAGTTAAAAACGCGTTAAAACATATTTAACTTATTTAACATTTTTAATCAATATTTCCAATAAGAACGCATTCATTTCAATATTTATGTACACAATAATAAAAAATGACCGATAAAAACAGTATTTAAAAGTCATTTTAGAGACATTCTGCTCGTTCTGTTTGCGCTCATTCCACTCCATGGGGATGTAGGGACTTGAAATCCACGTAACGAAAATGACGGAACTGTATGTATGTACACATATACTTTGTTAATTTGGCAGCGTAGAGCAACGTGGTCAGTACAGAAACAGAGATAAATTATTAATTATTACAAGTTATTACTCATTTTTGAGAGATAAAGAAAAATTTTGAAGTTAGCTTTTACTACCATGTGTATATGTATAGATGTGTATGTACATTACGAAATCTGTGAAACCTATTCCGGTAGAAACTACTGAAAACAGAACGAAACTGTGGAACGCTCGTGATTCCACTCTCGTTCCGTGTTACGCTATTCCGCTGCATGGGTTCGCACCTTTATTTGTTGAAACTTTTTTTTTTAGTCTGCATTAAAGCGAATTATTGTGTCATTTATTTTTATTATTTTAAGAGACAAATTATTATTAATTGCTTAAATAATAAAATTATAAAATAAAATTATAAATAATAAAATTTATTATATTTAAAAATTGTTTAATTCATTCATTTGCTTTGCGATAAAAGTTATAATAATGTAACGAAATATCTCGATCCTCCTAATGATTCAATATTCATCGGACCGCAAATATCAGAATGTACCAAATTCAGCACCTCAGTCTCTCTGTTTTTTGACAGCTCAAACGGTTGGATATGTAGCTTACTTTGATTACAGATCTCACATCAAAATTTATCAGTTTTTGTTGTAAATTCAACGCCTTTAACCATCCCATACAGCACACAAAGATTGCATACATATTGTAGCAATGTTTCACCGCAATATTGCAACTTTGCAAATTTACTGCAAAATGTTGCTGCATCATTGCTGTGGAATTGCAGCAATGATAAAATGTCCGCTTTTAGGAATATTGCATCAAAATATTATAGCAACATTGCAATGTAATGAATTTGCAATGATGTATATATATTTATTTTTGGGTATATAAATGTGTAATTATTGACGATACATTGTAATTAAATGTCTTTATTTGTACTTATGTTAACGTTATAAATAACATAACATTGCACATAACATATTATTGCACTTAATATGTTCACGAAATAAAAATATATTTTTTTTTATATTAGAGAAATATATAAAAATGGTTCAGCTTTACGCGCCGCTTTTATTACCACTAATAATTTATTGAATTTTGTCCATTATTGTTTTCCTTTGTTAAATGTCTGTAAAAATAAAATAGGAGTTAAAATTCATATTTACATAAAAATATACATACTGCAAATATACATAAAATAGGAGTTAAAATTCATATTTACATAAAAATATACATACTGCAAATATACATAAAATAGGAGTTAAAATTCATATTTACATAAAAATATACATACTGCAAATATACATAAAATAGGAGTTAAAATTCATATTTACATAAAAATATACATACTGCAAATATACATAAAATAGGAGTTAAAATTCATATTTACATAAAAATATACATACTGCAAATATACATAAAATAGGAGTTAAAATTCATATTTACATAAAAATATACATACTGCAAATATACATAAAATAGGAGTTAAAATTCATATTTACATAAAAATATACATACTGCAAATATACATAAAATAGGAGTTAAAATTCATATTTACATAAAAATATACATACTGCAAATATACATAAAATAGGAGTTAAAATTCATATTTACATAAAAATATACATACTGCAAATATACATAAAATAGGAGTTAAAATTCATATTTACATAAAAATATACATACTGCAAATATACATAAAATAGGAGTTAAAATTCATATTTACATAAAAATATACATACTGCAAATATACATAAATATTTTTATCAAATATTTTAAAGTTCATATCTACAGCAAAATAGAAAATTAGAGAAAGCAAAAAATATTCACATAAAAAATATACGAACATATATCATAGATAAATATAATTTTTACTTTTGCGATCTCAATAATTTTAAGGTTATATAGGTTATTAACCTTAGGACATTTTTTTTTAGTCTGCATTAAAGCGAATTATTGTGTCATTTATTTTTATTATTTTAAGAGACAAATTATTATTAATTGCTTAAATAATAAAATTATAAAATAAAATTATAAATAATAAAATTTATTATATTTAAAAATTGTTTAATTCATTCATTTGCTTTGCGATAAAAGTTATAATAATGTAACGAAATATCTCGATCCTCCTAATGATTCAATATTCATCGGACCGCAAATATCAGAATGTACCAAATTCAGCACCTCAGTCTCTCTGTTTTTTGACAGCTCAAACGGTTGGATATGTAGCTTACTTTGATTACAGATCTCACATCAAAATTTATCAGTTTTTGTTGTAAATTCAACGCCTTTAACCATCTCTCTTATTTTTAAATTTTTCAGATCTGCAATATTTAAATGTCCATACCTTTGATGCCAACGAGTCAATTTATCGTCGTTAATTTTACAAACACCGTCGCGTGATTTTTCATTTTGTTTACTGTGTAGAGTTGATTCCTCTTCGTTGCTATTAAAGCTGTGGATCCGTCTCTGCGTTTTATCGTTGCGCTATTTTTGTCAAATACCAAGGTGTATCTATTGTCTGTGATCATAGAAACTCATATTAGATTATTTTATAGCGCGGGAATTAACATTGTATTTTTTAGCTTTACAGTGTTTTTTGAACCACGATTTTTCACTTCCAAATTAATTTCGCCCATACTTGACGAATCTAAACAATGTCCCGCTACTGTAAACACTTTCGATCGTTCTGTATCGTTTAACATTGTAAATTTTCGATAGTCGTTACGCATGTGACGCGTCGCGCCGCTTTCAAGAAACCAATCGCTAAATTTCGAAACTTTAGTATTACATACTATAGCGGTCATAGTATAATTTTTGCTATTCGTTTCACCGTGTTTCATTTTTACGCGACAGTCGGTACTTTTATGTCCGATTTTACCGCAATTGAAACACTTTCCGATAAATTGTTTTCGATTTTGTTTCATAGATTTATCTGCTAAATTTATATGTCTTTGTTTGTCACAAACATGTACGCAAGAAAATAATGCGTTGTTATTCTGTCCTTTTCCCGAATCCTTTCTTCCCGCTCGTTTGTCTTGGCGCGTTTCCTTTTCCAGTGTTTGGCCTTCAAGCTATTCATATTCGAAATTTCGTCGCGAGACTCTATCGCTATGCTAAAGTTTTCGAAATCGTCGGGTAATGAAAATAATAACATTATCGACAAAAGATAATCCGGTATTTTGATTCCCGTCTCGATCAACTGTTCGGCTTTGTTAGTAAAATTATTTATGTACGCGTTCATGGTAATTCCCAAGTCTTTTCTCATTCGATATAATTGTTTATAAAACGTGGCTTTTCTAATCGATCCCTTCGATTCGTGAATGCGCTTGAGTTCCTCCCACGCGGCCTTCGATGTCTCGGCTCTTTTTACGTGATTTAATTGTCCACGCGACATGCTCAACACTATTAATGCCAGCGCCTTCTAATTTTTTACTGTCCAGGCCGCTGTATTTTCATCAGTCATTATCGTGGCACCATTCACGTAACCCCATAAATCGTTACATACCAGTACGCTTCTCATTTAAATCTTCCATGATTCATAGTTTTCTTCAGTTAGTTTTTCGATACTCTGATTCCCATGTGCTGCGGCCATCTTGATTAGAATTTGTTCACTTTTCCTTTACGCAACGTGCAGTGCCGAAACGAATTCTGGGCCCATATCATGATGGAGATATACGATGCGGATGGCGATAACGCAACACAATTTAGTTTGTATCAATTTATACTGGTTTCACTGTGTTTGATATATACATATAAAAAGAAAAAGGAAGTTCCCTATAAGCGCGTGATATTTATTTAATATCCTAAGCGTATTCTAAGAATATTAAATATATATTTAATATTCTTAGAATACGTCTAAAATATTAAATAATATCACGCGCTTATAGGGTAGTAGCCAATATGATTGGTAGAATATTTATGAATTTTAGAAAATGTTAAATTACGTACTGTTCACTGTATTTTCATTTATATTTTCACTCATTGCAGTTTGACTTATACTCTCATTAACTGCAGTTTCTCTTGTATCTTCATTCATAGATGCTTCACCCAATGATTGATCTAAGATTGTTAAACCTGCTGTAATATATTTATATTTAATTATATAAAGTCTTAATTGAAACTTTTTTAATATTCTTAGAATACGCCTAGAATATTAAATAATTTCACGCGTTTATAGGGTTATATTAACGGCTCGCGTGACTTGTGTCGAGGAGACGAACGGGCGCAAAGTAAAAGCACACTTGCGTCAACGTAAGGAAAACAAAAATGTGAACGTATAGACGCCAGTAATGCCAACCAAATGCAACAAAACAAACTACAGAAAGCACTCTAGGATCGTTATTTCCAACAAGATCTTACAATACAGATTATTTAAAATAATCTGTATTGTAAGATCTTTTAAATATATGTATATACTCAGACAGCACAAGGATGTCCTCAGGACGTCCAAAGGGCATCCAGGACATACATGTAGGATATCCTGAGGATATCCTATTTTAATCCTCGGATTTCCTCTGGATGTCCTGAGGAAGAGTAAATGATAGCCGTACACTAGCCTCTGGAGAATCCAGGGAGACCCTGTGGAACATCTTAAGGATTTCTATAGGATATGTTAGGGTTTAAATATATGTATATACACTGATAATACAATTTGTAAATTCAGAATAAAAAATAATCAGCTAAAAAATTGCTAATTGATATCTTGTCTGAAAATGTATGATATCGAATTATGTTCTAGTTACTTTTAATTATAATATATTCTTCATTTTCTTTTTGTGTATAGTTATTTCCTTTGCAAGGTTGGGAAGTAACGCGTTACTTGTAACGTCGTTACCGTTACAGTTACTTTTTTTCGGTAACGATCGTTACTTTTTTCTGTTTGTAATGGTAACGGTAACATCGTTACATTTTTACAGTAACGGTAACGAATTAGCCGTTACTTTTATCGTTATTTTTTGGTTCTTTATTATCTTATATCTATTCAATAGATAGATGTATTTTTTGAAAAATATTTTGTAGCCTTCTATCATAGGCTGCATTCTGATAGTCACTGCCAGTACTGAAAATCTATAGTAACGTAAATTATAGATTTTACAATACTGGCAGTGAATATTGGAATACACTCTTAATAATATCAATATTTCTCTTATCAATATTTAAAAACAATGTTTGATAAAAATTTCCGACGAAATTGAAATTTGTAAATTACAATTTAAATTCCTATAAAGATCAGTGTATTAAAAAGTAAAGATATTAACATAAAAAATTAGAATTATTTAATAAGTTTAATATAAAAAACGCTTGCTATATAGACTAATTTAGAGTTTTTAATTGTAACATAGATTATTACATTTAATATTGATTATTAAATAATTTTATAATCTAATAGCTTATTTTAGGATTACAAAAAACAAAAACATAACGAAAAAGTAACGGATCGTTACTTTCCAAGTAACGGTAACGGTAACGCGTTACTTTTTAAGAGTAACGTTCCCAACCCTGCTCCTTTGGGTATCTCCTTTGTATGTATCTGAAAGAGTATATAAAATTGTATTATCAGTGTATGTATATATGTATATTTAAAAGATTTTACAATACAGATTATTCAAAATAAAAAATAATTAGCTAAAAAATTGCTAATTGACATCTTGTCTGAAAATGTACGATATCGAATTGGCCTACTTACTTCTAATTGTAATACATCCCATACAGCACAGAACGTTGTTACAACATTGCAGCAACATTGCAACATTGTAGCAACATTGCGGCAATGTTGCATAGTTCTGTGCTGTATGGGATTTTTTAGCTTCTTTTTGTGTATGTTTGTGTATATTTTCTTTGTACGTATTTGAAAAAGTATATAAAATTGTATATATGATTGTACATACATATATTTATAAGATCTTACAATACAGAAGACTATTTAAAATATAAGAGACGATATTTATATCGTGATATGATTTACGGTTTATCAGAATTCAAAATATTCTTTAAATATGTCACTGCTCGCGACTATAAAGCCAGATTTAAATGTTTTTATTTTTCAGACTTTTCCAATGAATATTCAATTGTCTCAAACATATACAGGGTGGTCCTCGTAACGGTCGCCACGATTTTTAAGGCACTTACAATAATCTGACATAAAAAAGTCATAAACAGAAATTTATCAGTTTCTAAGCATATTTCAAAATACACGCATAATAAAAACAATTTTAATATTACTTACTCTTATAAACCATAGGCGCTTTCGGATATGCTAGTAGGTAGGACGGATCGCTATCATCGTCATCATCATCGCTTTCATCATTATCAATCTGTTTTCTGGCTCTGATTTTTCTTTTTGTTTTATTGTCGGTGTCGGTATTAACACCGGAATTCATTTCTGCTTTTTTAAATTTATTGCGTGCTTCACTGTAAGACTCTATAAAAATATGACATATCTTAATGATCTTTATAAACAATGTTTTTCGTAATAGTTTGCAAACTACACATAGACAACAAGTTAAGAACCCTTGCGATACGTTCGCTTACGTTTAAATACTCGTTTAATTGGATACGTCAACCAATTATCTTGAGGCGTTTGTCGTTTATTTATGGCTTTAGTATCTTGATCTGTTTTATAATTAGAATACCAACATTTGTTGGTGTCTTTTTGTACCCAATTATTATGTACTACTTGTATTCTATCTTCAAATTCTAGTAAATTGAATAGATTGTTTAGAACAGCGTTTTGCAAATTAAATATATTAAATCTGAAAAATATACATGCATGTATATAACGTACATATCAACAGGACACATGAAAAACAAATATACATACATTATGCAACAATGGTAGAAGTACGAATGTATTACAAACATTATATTTTACATATTTTATTATAACAGAAGTTAGAGGCCAGGCCAATAAATTTTTACATCCTGTCGATTTATATGTTCCCAATAAGGAGGAATTATATGGTTCAATATATAGATCTTTCAAATTAATGAATTTTTGACCAATAATGCAAAGATCATTAGCAGTATTAGTGACAATATATTCTCTATGATAACAATCGAACCATCATTTAAACCACAGCAGTTATTTGGATTATTAATAAATAGGGTGAAATCTCTGCTTTTGAAAATATTGAATATTGAGAACCATTTATTCCAGATAAGATTGGGCCGGCATAATGTGTTCCACATACACCCATTTTTCTATGTTCTTTTTCAAACGATAAGTAATATTCCAATTCTGTTAAATGACTGTGGATTTGTTGTAAGGGACGTTTAGCTTTTCTAAGAAACTGTTTTATTTTTTTTTAAATAATTTTCATATCGAAAAGCGCTAAATGTATCCAGGGGTCCAAATTTCCTAACATCATCTACTAAAATGAATTAGTGCATGTATATATTGTAAGATATTGTGGCTCATATAAGATTATGAATGACTGTACAAAGTGTTGCAGTAAGGATTCCGCATAAATAATATGTAAAAGATCTGGAGAACACAATAGCCGAATGGCTACATGCAATGTTAAAAAATTCTTGTAGATATATAGTACACATACTTGGTATGTAATGTGTATGTACATAATGGGACAAAAACAAAACATAAGCCTCTTTTTAGCGATACGTATATGTATATATGTGGTACATACGTATATGTATATATGTGGTATACAGGATGTCCTAGACCACCCGTACACCCCTTTTCTTTCAAAAACTAAGCATTTTAGAGAAAAACGTTTTCAACAAAAATTGTATGGTTTTGAGGGGAACATAAGATGGTGTCATTGGTTTGACCTTGGATGAGTCTTCAAAATCATTCTCTGTGAGGCTGTTTAGTGCACGCGTCATCCATTCCACCTGCTTTTCTTGATTTTGGGAAATAGGAAAAAGTCAGGGGGACCCGATCTGACCTCCTCCGATATTTTTCTATTCGCCAAGATTAAGAAAGATATGAAGGATCGTCATTGGGAATCACGAGCGGCGGTAGAATAGTTGACGCGTGTTTTAAACAGCCTCACGGAGAATGATTTTGAAGATTGCTCCCTGCAAAAGGAAAAACATTGGACCAAGTGCATTGCTTTAAGAAGGGACTATTTTAAAAGGGACCGTATATTAGATAACGAATAAATGTGTTCTGTAATTGTAATAAATATTTTCTACGAACTTAATTGTCAGTCCTCGTATATTTTTTACACAAATATATTCTTTCTATTATGACCGCGATATACGATTAGACCACAGGTCTAATTTATTCTAAATTCGTTACCGTAAAAAATGTGCTACGAGAGAAGATTATGTTGTATCATATAAGCGTAACCATTAAATTAAATTGCAATACTAATCTAGTTTTTCGGTCAAAATAGTTTAAATGAGAAGAGAAATCAGAAAATGTATAGACCGACAATAAAAAAGTAAAATACTTTGTCCGGATTCTCTTAAACGATCGTTTAATGGCGTTCCATTAAATTAGATGTAGTTAAACAAAGTCGCTCTGCAAATCCAATAATCAAAATCAAAGCGCTTAATAAAGAATCTCTTAATGATGAAATAAAAAAATTAATTTTGAAAAATTTTGATAGAAATAATACCGAATTATTTTTATTCTGATGAAATTGAAACGATTGATTTGTCTATTAAATTTGATATTTTGTAATTAATTATCAATATTCGTTCCACTTAAATTCGATATTTTGTCATTGATCGTCAATATCTATTCTATATGGAGAATAAACTGCCGAGGGCATTGGGATATACGCTCGAAACATTACTAGTATTGTTTTGATTTTATTTTCGGATATTATTTTCTGGTTATTTTTAATTTTAAAAAGTGGGCTTTATATTGAACATTTCTTGGGTAT